GGAGACTTCACTGAACACAAATATTTGTGTTTCAAAACAGTAAAAAGTATCATAGCAATAATATTGTCCGTTTAATGCTGTTTGTGCGTGAAAAATGCAAAAAACGTCACTTTACTGGCGATATCATCGTTGTAATACATTTTACTGTTTTGAAACACTAATATTTGTGTTCAGCGAAGTCTCCCGAGTAGAACAGTACCCCCCATGTACAGGTTTTATGGTGTCTCAGAAAGTTATAGGGTTAAATATAGTGCTAGCAAATTAAATTCCCTTTACTTTCGGCATGGGTTGTCAGGCAGGTCCTGCTAATAGTAATTAATTAAGATACCTAATTATGTAAAAATATTACATAAATATATATGTAGAATTAATATATGTATATATATACATATGTGTATATATATGTATATATCTATATAATTTTTTTTAAATATTTTTATTTATATATAAGTATATATATAGTGATATATACGTATATATTTATGTGTATAAATATATATATTATTTCGTTCTATGTGTATTTTGATATATATATATATATTAATTTCACAATACAGTTAGAACGAAATAACACACATCTATATATTTTTTAATTATTTATTTTTAATTATTTTTGTAATTTTATTTTTTAACGTATTTACATTTTAATTTTTTTTATAATATATATAAATATATATATAACAATAATTATATATATATTTAATCAGTATCAGTGTACGTGTAATTTGATATTAATATATATATATAATTATATATATATTAATAGTAAAATACACCTAGACGGTGTACATGTGTGTATGTATATGTGTATATATATACTTTGATCATATATATATAATATATATATATGATCTAAGTATATATTATTTATTTTTTTACACTATTTATTTATTTCATTTTTATTTTCAGCCAGCAGGGGGACCACCTGTCATTACAGGCAGCCCCCCTGCTGGCAATACAGAAGCCAGCTATCCCCGGCCATGTGATTGTGGGGTCCTCGCTAGGACCCCACTCTCACACGGCCGGGGGGCTTCCTGGAGGACGGTCGTGCCGCGGGGGGCTCCCTGGAAAGACCGGAGGGCGTACTATTACGCCCGGCGGCGTTTAGAGCCGCCTATTAGAGGACGTAATAGTACGCCCTCCGGTCTTAAGGGGTTAAAAAAACAAAACATAATAATAACTTGTATTATAGTATTACATTTCGTAATACACAAAACATATTTTAAATTCAGGAAAGGGTACGGGGACCCAGCGCTTACTGGGTGTTCTCAAACTCATATAGTGGTGAGTCAGTATGGAAAATATGAGGACAGAAAACAGAATAAAGTGTAATATATTCTATAGGTGGTGAGGTAAAATAAGAGAAATGCCACTTACAATTTTATTGTAAGCTTATGTTCAGCTCGAGATATATGCGCATGGGCGGTATTTCTTCCCTCAAGTGTTGCTACTCCTGTGTGTCTCCCTTCAAGTCAACGGCGCCACCATCACCTCTACCACGCAGGCTCGCTGCCTAAGTGTTCTCTTTGACTCCGACCTCTCCTTCACCCCTCATGTCCAGTCGATCGCCAAATCCTGCTGCTTCCATCTCAAAAACATAGCTCGCATCCGCCCCTATTTAACACCAGACGCGACTAAGGTGCTGGTCCATGCCATTGTTATCTCTTGCCTTGACTACTGCAATCCCCTTCTCAGTGGTCTTACATGTTCCAACACTGCAATCTATAATGAATGCAACGGCGAGGCTCATTTTCCTGTCTGCCCGCACCTCCCACACCTCCCTCCTCTGTCAGTCTGTACATTGGCTTCCAGTCAAATTTAGAGCTCAATTTAAGATTCTGGTGCTTGCTTAAAAGTCCCTACATAATGCTGCTCCAACCTACCCATGGGTGTCCGCAGGGGAGGGCAAGGGGGGGCACTTGCCCCCCCCTGGATTTTTCAGCTTGTTCTGATATTTTTCGTGTGAAAGTTAAAATGAGCTGCAATACCGGCGCCGGCCAGTAGGTGGCGCTGTGTATGGAGAGAGACAGGGATAGGAAGCTGCATCTTATCCTTGCTTCTCTCTGCTGATTGAAACCGCAGGGGAACAACACATGCAGCCAGAGAGACAGCCTACAGATCAGGTAAGTGGGGGATGGGGTGGGGGGTTTGAGATAGCCTATAAACTTGGGGGGCAGCAGCAGCCTATAGACTTGGGGGCAGCAGCCTATAGACTTGGGGCAGCAGCCTTTGGATTTGGGGGTAGCAGCCTATAGACTTGGGGGCAGCAGCCTAGACTTGGGGGGCAGCAGCAGCCTATAGACTTGGGGGGCAGCCCATAGATCTGGGGGCAGCAGCCTTTGGGTGGGGGCAGCAGCCTTTAGATTTTTAGCAGCCTATAGACTTGGGGGTAGCAGCAGCCTATAGACTTGGGGGGCAGCAGCAGCCTATAGACTTGGGGGCAGCAGCCATAGATGGGGCAGCAGCCTGGGGGGCAGCAGCCTTTAGATTTGGGGGCAGCAGCCCATAGATTTGGGGAGGGGGCAGCAGCCTATAGATTTGGGAGGGGCAGCAGCCCATAGATTTTTGGGGGGCAGCCTATAGATTAGGGAAGTGAGCAGATTAGTGAGCCTATTGCATTAGGGTGTGCACCCTAAATCACAAACACACGCCATGTGTATATGTATGTATGTGTGTGTGTATATATATATATATATATATATAAATACTGCTGTGTGTGTGTGTGAGGGTGCTGGTAGTGTGCTATGTGGGTGACGGTGTTTTTGTGTGTGTTTGTGAGAGTGCTGTTAGTGTGCTGTGTGTGAGGGTGCTGTTTGTGTGCTGTGTGTGAGGGAACTGGTAGTGTGCTGTGTGTGTGTTTTGTGTGTTTGTGAGGATGCTGTTAGTGTGTTGGGTGTGTGGGTGTTGTATGTGTGTGGGTGCTGTGTGTGCGAGGGTGATGTATGTGTGTAGGTGCTGTGTGTGTGTGTGCTGTATGTTTGGGTGGAAGTGGGGGCAGATTAGTTAATATCCCAGTCCTGCTGCCTTCCCTGGTGGTTCAGTGGAGAGTGAACTCTAGCCCGGGTTCTCTGCTGCCTCCCTCCATGCTGCTGTGGACCGGTGAGGTAGAACTTTGATCTCCCCACCGGCCCATGGAGGCTTAGACCAGAGCCGCCGCTCGGATAGCGTCGGCTCTGCATGAGCCGACCTGGGAGATCCAGAGATCTCCCCTGCCGGGCTCAATCCATTGGCGTGCCGCAGGGATTAGGGTGTGCCCAGGCACACCCAACACACCCCGTGCGCATGCCTATGGAAGTGAGGGATGGAGGAGACAGCCTACATGAAGAGTCAGCAAGGAGCAGGAAGGTAAAGTGAGAAAAGGAGAAGGAACAGAATGAGCAGGAAGGGACATCAAGGAGCAGAAAGGGGCAGCAAGGAGCTGGAAGGGACAGCAAGGAGCACAAAAGGTAAAGAAATGAACAGGAAAGGTCAGCAAGGAGCTGGAAGGTAAAGCAGCACAAAGGTAAAGTAGAGGGAGCACAAAGGGTCAGAAATGAGCTGGAAGGGGCAGAAGGAGCACAAACATAAAGTAGGAGAATGAGCAGGAAGGGCCTGCAAGGAGCAGGAAGGGCCTGCAAGGAGCAGTAAGGAGCACAAAGGTAATGGAGCAGAAAGAATCAGAAGGAGCACAAAGGTAAAGTAGAAGAAAGAGCAGAAAGGGACAGCAAGGATCACAAAGGTAAAGTAGAAATGGGAGCAGAAAGGGTCTGCAAGGAGCAGAAAGGGATCAGAATGAGAAAGGAGCAGAAGGGTGCAAAATAAGCAGAAAGTAGCAGAAAAGTAAAAGAGCAGAAGGGGCCAAGGATAGAAAACAGTGTCAGAAGAAAAGAAAAGACTGTCAAATGAAGGAGAGGAAAAGGAGATTGGAGCAGGAAGGACAAATGAAGTGAACCCTTCACTTTATTCTGGACACCACATCATAAGGCTTTGGTACCTGGGCCAGGCAGGGAAACACTGGACCTTCTCATCTCCAAAGGTAAAAAAATATCGGTGTTAATGTGTTCACTTTTATTTACTGAGTGTCAGGAAGCACAGAGTGCCGTTGGGTAGGGGTGTTGCTGATTGGCTAGAGCGGTCAGCTGGCACTCTAAGCCAATCAGTAGCTCCCCATTCATAAAAAAGTTAAAATATTTTATGAACCGGGAACTAGCGATTGGCTTAGAGCGTCAACTGTCCACTCTAGCCAATCAGCGGCACCCATGCCTGACGTCAGTCTGCACTTCCTGACACTCTGTTTCAGAAGCCAAATACCACTGAGCGACCTGGAGCTGGAGGAAGCCTTTGAGGTTAAACCATTTGAGAGCGATTTAACACCTTAAAGGAAAGCGAGTACCCAGGGGCTTCCTGGCATCATAGCATTTTCATTTAGGTGAAGTTGTTATGGTGACCAGAATGGTCCTTTAATTTGCTTAAAGGAACACTATAGTGTCAGGAATACAAACATATATTCCTGACACCATAGTTGTGAAAACACTATTCACCCTGGCTTTATGTGATAATGGCTGTGCCCCTTCCCTTTCATGACACTGTCAAAAAGGTACCAAGCATGGATGTCATTACAATTATGCCCCCCCCTGGAAAAATTCCTGCGGACGCCCATGAACCTACCTATCCTCCCTAATACACAAATATGTCCCGTTGAGGCCTCGGCGCTCTGCCAAAGACCTATGTCTATCCTCTGTCCGTACTCCCACATTTGATGCTCGCCTCCAAGACTTCTCCAGGGCTGCACCTTTTCTGTGTAACTCCCTTCCCTTCTCAGTTAGACTTTCACCCAGTCTCCACTCCTTCAAAAAACACACTTCTTCAGGAAAGCATATCATTTAAACTGTTAGCGGGTTTCATTCGTCCCTCCACATACACACACAGGGACACAGATACACACTGGTACAAAGATACACACACTGGCACACAGATACAAACAGTGTGTGTCTGTGTGTGTATCTGTGTGTCAGTACATACAAAGTAATAGGTGGAGCTGTATAATGTCCTGTATGATCTGTAAAACAGAATAAATCCAGCAACCAACGATAGAAGGGTCTGGACAACCCCCCAATGGTCCAAAGGAGCATACCTCTAGAGTCATATGACGGTATGACTCTAGTCATGTGAGTTCAACCATTTTTCTACTTTTATAATATTTATCTGTACAGACATTCTACGCTATTTTGCATTTATTCTGTTTTACAGATCATACAGGACATTATACAGCTCCACCTATTACTTTGTATGTACTGACACACAGATACACACACACAGACACACACTGTTTGTATCTGTGTGCCAGTGTGTGTATCTTTGTACCAGTGTGTATCTGTGTCCCTGTGTGTGTATGTGTCAGTGTGTATCTGTCAATGTGTGTATATGTGTGTCAAGTTGTGTATGTCTGTGTGTATCTGTGTTTGTATGTGCCAGTGCGTGTAACTGTGTGACAAGGTGTGTGTATCTGTGTCAGTGTGTGTGTCTGTGTTTGTGTGTATATGACTGTGTATGTGTCGGTGTGTTTCTGTTTGTTAATGTGTAAGTATGTATGTGGCAGTACATGTGCAGACAACAGATATCCCAGCAATCAAACACCAACACAACACACACTCCTGCAAACACAAAGATGAGAAAAAGACCCCCCTGAACTCTAACTCCAAAATTATATACAAACACTCAAATACCAATACTACACACACATGTATATCCACAGTTAAAATCCAACACTATATCTAAATACACCACTGCACGCAAATGCTAACATTCCATACAAATACATCCCTGTATTAAAACGATAAAATTAGATACAAACACCAACTCTAAACACAAAAACACACCTGCTCCTTCTGCAATCTGTTTACTATCTTTAGAAGTAGTGTGTATATAAAGTAAAAAAGCTAAATTTGCAAAAAAAAGTCATTATGCTCTGCTAATTGAAAGGTTTACGCAACGGCGCAATTTTTTTGGGGGGGGAGGCGGGGGGAGGGGGTCCACGATGTTGATACACTATGTCAAAGGGTTCCATGGGAACAATTAATTGGGACCCCCTGCCCTAAATCATTGGTTTCCAAGCCAGTCCCCAAGGCACGTCTACCATTCTGGGTGTAATACTTTCTATGGATTTGGAGTGGAACTCAACTGCAGAAATAATTAGGAGAAACCTTAAAGGATTAGCAGAACAATTTATTAGGATTTAAATAGAACAATTCTTCATTAAGGAATTTTACTTGTAGGTAGATTGCTGAGAACAGTTACTGTAACTTTAAGGAATGCAATATGCAGATAGCTTGATAAGCAAGTTCCTTTAGCTTTAAGGAACACAAGCATGAATTTAGTAACTTGTATTTATAAGGAAAGATCATGGGATGAATCCAAGTAAATAAGTTCATGTATTAAATACAAGTTTAACTTCAAATCAATCTCATTAGGAAGGCACTTAGAGAAAGCTGGAGTGCCAAACAGAATGGTAATCATCCAACAGTATAACTTACATTTAAGATAATGAGCTTTGAGAAGCAGAGTGAATCCTAAGGCAGTCCGAGTCAATTGGAAGGAGAGTGGAGATCAGCGGTTACAACAGTCCAGGTTCGGTACACGTAGTGAGTAGAAGGTGAGAGCTTTATTGTAGCCAGTCCGATCTAGCAGTAAGCTTTCAAAATAATCAAGCCCCTTGAATCAGGTGTGGTCCCTCTAAGTAGTATGGCTTAATTGTTTTTGATTTTGTGAACTAGGGGTTCTAAGTAGAGGATGAATATTAACGGGGAGAGTGGGCAGCCCTGACGTGGGCCATTGGAAATTGTGAACGGCTCTGATAGGAAGCCTGAGTTTAAGACCTTAGCTGTCGGGTGTTGATATAGGGCTTGAATACTAGTGACAAATGCCTGAGGTATACCCATTTTTAGAAGTGTGGCTTGCATGTAGGACCAGTTGAGGCAATTGACCGCTTTTTCAGTGTCCAGCGCTATCAACACTCCTTTTTGCTTGGTGGAGGAAGCCCGGTCAGTTAAATTAATAAAGTTTCTTGTATTGTCTCCAACCTGTCTGCCAGGAACAAACCCTGCTTGTTCCACAGAGACCAGCTGACAGAAGGACAGTTTCAATCAGGATGCTAGCAATTTGGCATAGAGTTTAATATCAGCATTTAGCATGGAGATTGGGTGGAGATTTGCACATTCTGAAGGGGGTTTACCTGGTGTGGGCAATGTCACCATGTGTGCTTCTAGCATTTCCTTAGGTACTGCGCCTGAGGACTTAATAGCATAAAAAGTTTCGTAAGGTGTGTGGTCAATAGTGGTTCTAGACAAGTATGATAATAGTTAGAAAGACCGTCTAGACCTGGGGCTTTGTGTTTTGGTAGGGACTTTATAGCTAATTGGATTCCTTCCCACAGAGTATTTCTGCTGTTGGGTTAGGCTTGGGAGATTTACAAAGTCTAAAAAAGTGTGGAAAGCGTCGTCAGTTGGTTGTGTGATTGCGTTTTGCAGATTGTAGAGCTTAGTGTAGTATCTGGCTAACTCGTTCACTATATTGTAGGGGTTAAAAAGTGAATTTTAGTTTGCATGTATTTGTTTTTCAATTAATTGCTAATAGTCTCCCTGCTTTATTCCCTTGGGTATAAAATGTTAATTTTAGTGATCTCAGATGTCGTTCTGTTGTTAGCAGTGATAATGAATGTAGTTTATTTTGTACATTTTTTTAGCCTTCTGGTTAAGAGTTTAGATTTAGAGTTTAGGGTTTTGTTTATTCTGACTTTCTAGATCAGCTTGCTCATTTATCAAGCGGGTCTGGGTGTCATTCATCTGTCATTTCTTCCTGGAGCCTAGCTGGATGAATACACCTCTCATGACTGCCTTAAAGGACCACTATAGTGCCAGGAAAACATACTCGTTTTCCTGGCACTATAGTGCCCTGAGGGTGCCCCCACCCTCAGGGTCCCCCTCCCGCCCGGCTCTGGAGAGAGGAAGGGGTTAAACACTTACCTTTCTCCAGCGCCGGGCGGGGAGCTGTACTCCTCCTCTCCTCCTTGCTCACGACGTCATCGGCTGAATGAGCATGCGCGGCAGGAGCCGCGCGCGCATTCAGCCGGTCGCATAGGAAAGCATTTACAATGATTTTCACAGTGAGAAGCACGCAAGCGCCTCTAGCGGCTGTCAATGAGACAGCCACTAGAGGCTCTGGAGGCTGGATTAACCCTCAGTATAAACATAGCAGTTTCTCTGAAACTGCTATGTTTAAAAAAAAAAAGGGTTAATCCTAGAGGTACCTGGCACCCAGACCACTTCATAAAGCTGAAGTGGTCTGGGTGCCTAGAGTGGTCCTTTAAGAGCTAGCCATAGGGAGGTCGCAGACATCTGGTCACTGGTGTTACCCACAAAATAGTCTGCTAACGCTTTTGTTATGGTTGGTTTAGCTGTGCTATCCTCAAGCAACATCTCATTCAGTCCCTACTTTCCTCTACCCCTCGCCAGATAACGCGCTTTGAAAGTTATTATTATGGGAGCGTTGTCTGAGTGTTCACAAGCAGTCATCAAATCTGCACGTAGTATTTAACTAAGTTTGTGCGATTATATGGCTTGGTGTAATGGGAGCAATTACTCTATTCGACTGCTCAGCTCGTTGGCAGGACAGGCCCCTGTTCCTGTTAATCTTGACAATATTTTGAGAAGATCCTTGTAGGCAGTGGCGTACATACCAGGGTCGCAGGGGACGCGGCTGCGACCGGGCCCGGCCCACCAGGGGGCCCGGCCGCCCCTGCGACCCGGTATGTACCCACAGGGCCAGCCTCTTCTCCTGGGGGGCCCAGGAGCCGGCCACCTCAGGGCCCCCCGAGGCTGGCCCTGCTGACTCCAGCGGGTGGGCGCGCTGTCTGGGTGGCCGGCGCGCGAGGGAGCACTCTGCTCTGACTGCTTCCTCTTCAGCTCCCTCACGCACCGCACTGATACCGGAGCCAGATGACGTCATCTTCCGGCTCCGGCATCCCTACGCGGCGCACGAGGGAGCTGAAGAGGAAGCAGTCAGGGAAAGTGCTCCCTCGCACGCCGGCCACCCAGATAGCCAGCCCACCAGCCCGCCAGCCCGCCCAGGAGCCCCAGGAGCCCAGCAGCAGCACCACTGGACCCCAGGGAATCCCCTCAGCACTCCAAAAGGTAAGGAGGCTGGGGGGATTAAATTAAAAAAAACATGTGTTAGTGTGTGTTAGTGTGTGTGTTAGTATGTGTGTTAGTGTGTGTTAGTGTGTGTGTTAGTGTGTGTGTGTGTTAGTGTGTGTTAGTGTGTGTGTGTTAGTGTGTGTGTGTTAGTGTATGTGTGTTAGAGTGTGTGTTAGTGTGTCTGTTATTGGGTGTTTCTGTTATTGGGTGTGTCTGTTACTGAGTGTGTCTGTTACTGAGTGTGTCTGATGTCTGTTAGTGAGTGTGTGTTTGTCAGTGAAAGTGTATGTTTTGTAAGTGAGTGTGTATGTATGTCTGTCGCTGAGTGTGTCTCTGTCAGTAAATGTGTGTGTCTGTTAGCTAGTGTGTATGCGTCTGTTCATGAGAGTGTGTGTATTCAGCATCTACCTTTCTCCTGCGCCGCACTTCCTTGGCGCTGGGGATCCCTCCGCCTCTCAGCTCCGAATGCACATGCGCGGCAAGAGGCGCGCATGCGCATTTAAACCGCCCATAGGAAAGCATTACTCAATGCTTTCCTATGGACGTTCAGTGTCTTCTCACTGTGATTTTCACAGTGAGAATCGCGGAATCTCCTCTAGCGGCTGTCAATGAGACAGCCACCAGAGGCTGGATTAACCCTCAGTGAAACATAGCCGTTTCTCTGAAACAGCTATGTTTTCAGCTGCAGGGTTAAAACTAGAGGGACCTGGCACCCAGACCACTTCATTGAGCTGATGTGATCTGGGTGTCTGTAGTGGTCCTTTAGGTGTGTGCAGCATACCGCGGTCACGGGGTCGCAGCCTTGCGACCAGGTGCCCGCCGCCATGTGTTGTGGCCCCGACCCGCGCCAAGTAAGTGCGGGGGGGGGGCCCACGGATCAATTTTTGCACCAGGGCCCCATGGGGTCATGTGTACGCCACTGCTTGTAGGACCAGAGAAAGTGTCTGTTACAGCACCACAATTACACAATCTAGTCTTAGATTTACTGCCAGATTTATCACACTAATATTTAGTGACTGAAAATATGCTGCAATGGTCTTGAATGCACAGAACAATAAATCTCAAATAGCAAGTTTGAAGATACTGAGAATTTAATGG